ACCACACAACTCCTTTTTTGTCTCTGTGACCAATGGGGGGGGGGGGGGTTGGTACAATTTGAGAATGGATAAAAAGCATTGAACAAATACATCTGAAATTCAGCATCAAGGTACTTGTGACAGAAAGCTCGGCTAGCCCCCAGATGGTTTCAGTCTTTTGCATACCGCAGTCCTACTAGGAACTGCAAGTAGCCCCATAATGGTTTCAGTTGTTTGCATACCACAGTAAGAACGGGAAGTTAATGTTGTTGGTACAATTTGAGAATGGATAAAAAGCATTGAACAAATACATCTGAAATTCAGCATCAAGGTACTTGTGACAGAAAGCTCGGCTAGCCCCCAGATGGTTTCAGTCTTTTGCATACCGCAGTCCTACTAGGAACTGCAAGTAGCCCCATAATGGTTTCAGTTGTTTGCATACCACAGTAAGAACGGGAAGTTAATGTTGTCCTTAAAACAAAACAAAATAGCGTTTTCATGCCAGTAACATGTTCAATAAAGAGGCTTAAGACTTTTAAATGCCATAGAACAGCCCTGGAGCTTTCACAAGAACAATTTTTCACTCGCTGGCAGTAATATTTACACCCCCTGTATGACTGCTCTTAGTATCATAGAAGTAAACTGGCAGGCATCCCTCCACACAGCTCAGCTCCTTTGACCAGAGGGAGCCAGGATCATCTGGAAGCCTGCTGAGGAGACTCCCTGGACTGTCCCTGCTTTGGGAGAGGCAGGCTTGACAAAGGGCAGGTACAAAGGACAGCTGGCCACATTCTACCTCGCAAATAGTTTTGTTTAAGAAAGGAGGCGGCAATTTATAGAACTTGCAATCTTTCAAACTACCAAGTACTACATAAATATAAGATCATTAAAACATGGCTCCAAGGTGTGAAGTTTTAAACAGCTGAATACAACTCACTCCTGTGGGGGCAGGGATTAGGGAATGAAAAGGGGTGGGAAAATAAAAAATAAACTTGTATAAGCAGAATGCTTAAGGCAGAAATGCAGAGCCTAACAGAGCTGCAAGTGAGTTACTATCCACAATGCAAGTTTGCAAAAACTAGCTTTACAGGATTCTCATGGTAGCACCTGCAAACACAGTCCAAGTTCTTGCAGTGTGACAGTGCCGTAAGCCATAAACACAGGAGAAAACACCTAGCTGACTGACTATACAGAAGTACCACTCTCCACAGGTCTGTAACATGCACAAATAAAAACAGATCAGAAAAAAAATAATTCCAATGCATCTGTTTTGCAAATTTTCATTCTAAGCACACATTTTTCAGAAACTGCTATTTTTCTGTAGGCCATGTCCCTTTATATTAAAAATATCAAAGGGAAATGTCCTTCTTTAGACTAAGAGCTTATCTATACAGCTTCTATTATGATTTAACTTGGCCAGTTTCATCACCTTAGTGCAAGCACCAAGTACGGACATATTTATACCAGTACAAAACTGTTCATCTTGTTAGATTTCCTCAGTATTTATAAATAAGTGGCACAGTACATTTCTTCTGCATGATCTTCTGACAGCTCTTTCATTTCTATATATTTTCTATATTTTATTTAGGAATGACACACACAGGGTATTTTTGAATGGCACTGGGAAAGTCACAAATACCTATCTTGGGGGCAACAATCTATCTTGAGAAGACACCCCAGCAGGAAGCACCAAATGGGATTTTGACAGGGAGCCCAGAGGCACAGAGATCTAAGAAGGTTAAGCAGCTGTCCCTGGAACTATCGTATGAATTAGGATAACCCAGATCTGACACCACAGCTTAGTAAGTAACCATCCCATACGTGACGAGTATTTTGTGGGACAGTAGGTGAAGGGAGACAAGTGGCCAGAGATTTCATAGAAGTTGCTGGCTGCTGTGTAACAGGATAGTCTAGCTGTCATGCTGCTAGATGCAAATCCCTTGAAAACTTGAGGTGAACAAGGCCATGAGGTTAGCTCACTTTAGCTGAACCAGCCTGGACTATCCCTGTCCTGGCTCCCAGACCTGAGACTGAGGAATGGGGAGAAGACCCATAGGAAAAGAACTTTCTCCCCCCCCCACCCCCATCATATTTTGCTGTCCTCAAACTAGGAATGCTGTCCTTGAACAAGGCAGTTATTAGTAGGTCACTCTATGGGGATTAAGCCAATTTAAAGGTAACTCTATGCATCCCTCTTAGCCAGTCCTCCTTCCTCCGGGAACCAGGAAAGTGGAAAGAAGAGGGGACCATCACAGGACCAAGTCTAGGTTCAATACACCATCTTTTGCAAACTCTCTAATGCTGCCATGTTTACCCCATGACAGACTGAAGCCCTTAGGCATTTTTACATATGTTCTGGGCGTGGGGGGAAGAAGGAGGGCACTAATTAATGCATCTGTAACATCTGGTGCATCAGTGCCCCATGCTTCAAAATGGCGGTGGAGTGCTTTGAGTTCAAGATGCAGAAGCTGCTGGGGGCACACTAATTGGCATACTGTAATTACAGTGTGTTGGAGCGGCCTCCTCACATGTCCACAGGCACCACTTGATGTTAAGTGAACAGTTTCCTCCTCTTCCCTCAATCTAACAAGCATCCCCCCCGCCCCCCCATCTCTCAGTATAAAAACTAAAGGGACGTTTATCCTTTTACATGCTACCCTTTTACTCAGCCTGCCGTCTAGAAAACTCTTATTTTTTTCTGGTCTGAACAGAATGCCAGAAATCTGCAAGGAGACTGTTCCTTCCTCCTGCCTGTACCAAAGGGAGGCTCTGATGCTGAGCAGAGCGCTTGCAGGAGAGCAGCAGCAGGATGCATTGGCAGGACAGCCAAAGGCGTTTGCTTTGGGACTGCTGGAAGGTATGTTTGCAAGGCTTTGTTCTCTTTCAGCTGCTACAGTTCCCTGCCCCTTCCCTTTCTACTGAGTGCAAAAAGGAGGGTGCTGGCCACCCCTCATTTCTGCATTGCCAGTCAGAGGGTTATGGGGTTTTTTTAATTCAAAGCACCTTGCCCAGGGGGCCAGCTCCCCACCTTCTCACTACTAGGAGCTAGGAAGCAGAGATATTGGTTGTAGCTGTGTTGGTCTAAGCACATAGGCAGACAAGGTTCTTTGGGTAGATGCGATATCTTTTATTAGACCAAGTAAGAAATTGGAAAAAAGTTCTTTGCAAGCTTTTGGGCACAAACACCCATCATCAGGCATAGGGAGACTCTGCTGATGTTATGTGTTCTCCAAGGTAGAAAAGAAGCAAATTTACAACAAGCATATCTGGGGTGTCAGATGTCACGCAGGTTGTAATGTGTCATAAATCCAAAGTCAATATTAAGTCCATGATTTTTGTATCCAGTAGATAGTAGGAACCAGAGATGGTGCAGGATTCCTAAGCTTTCTACATTATTCCTGCAAAGGTTTCCTGTGATTGGCCAAA